AATAGGATTAGCTGAGAATGTGTTCATGTGACAAATGCTTGCGTGACTTGCTTGGTTTTCTCATTATTCTCTGATTATTCACGGTTCTCAGCATTTGATGAAAACGAATCTCATTGCTTTTATAAGATTGTCCATGACGGCGCTTCAAATTTTCAGTATCATTATTTCGATGTATTGCAATTACATGTAAGTCAAAACATCTTCCCAACCTCTTCAAAACGTAGACAAGAACCAAATATAAGAGACTTTGCAACTGGCAAAGTCAATGAGATAAATGAAAACTCCTGATTTGAGTGCTTTTCCTCAATTCCCTGAGTTTTTCCCCAACATGGAAAAAAAGGACTTGCCAGATTTTCTCCAATTCCATTATAGCTAGAAAACCTGTCATTACTCTGCAATTACGGTAAATACCTTTTCTACTTAATTTGTTTTACACTTTTGTTCTGTTTTGGAGCCACAAAGATATTAACTTTAATACTGAGACTTGATCACTTAATGCTCTAATGTGGCTCCAATTAGATTGGTCTCGCTTAGATTGATTTGCGTGAATTTGTTTGTCTTGGAATCAGAAATAAACTTTAATAAAGATTACATAACAAGTATCTTCTAAAAGAGAAGTTTGAATTCTGGGAAAGGTGTGAAATATTGTGCAAGCTTTTCCATTATTTTTATGGCATTGTGAAATAATATCATAGAAATTAGAAATGTATCTTGATATTATAGGAATGCTCATCAAATTCGAAAGGTGACACAGCTGAAAAGAAGTGTTTGGACCAAACTTCATGCCACATGTTTGTTAAGTCCCATATACACATTTATGTGTACAATGCACGTTTATAGGAAACTGAGTTCCTTTCTTATCATTTTGAAGATTCCAAAACCGCACATTATCACAAATTCTCATATGTCAAATAATCAACCTTTTCCAATAGGCCATTTTTGTGTCATGTAATCAAATTTAATCCTGGCTGCTTAATCCAAGGCTTGTGCATAAATCTTTGTAAAGTGCCATGTTAAAAATCATTTCATTCACCTGTTTTGAATAATTGTATTTCAATTAAATTTCAATAGTCAGAAAGAGAATTGCATACACTACATGTTGTTAAGAAGTACTTGTCAGCCATTATGCTTATCCTACCTAGCAAAAATTAATAAAGATTTGTGCATTAGTTGTTATTTCATTATGAAAATGGTTAATTGCTTTCTTTTACAATTCAACGCACCATGGGAAATCAACTTTCTCTTGGAATTCAGAGCTGACAAGAACTGTAAAATGGGATGACCAATTTGAACATGTGTACGTCATCAGCACAGAATGTCACTGTCAGATCGGTAGAAGGCCAATCGTTTCAGTTCAGGTTGATAAAACTCCTCACGGGAGCAGAAAGAATTTGAGTGGTTGTAACCTCCTGGCCTTGTCTAGACCTACGGGGCACATTCCTAAACAACTCTAGGTCTACTGTTTCAAATACCTTCCAAAGTTCCAAGATGATTGGCCATGTTCAATTCCATTTTGGGTTCAATTTATTCTTTTTCTTTATCCATCATAAAAAGCAACAATGATGATGATATAAAAATTAAGATTGGGTGAGATTAAGGAAAAATGGAAACTCCTGAATAAAGTTTGCCAAAAACAAAAAAACAAAAAACTTGCGAGGCGTAGTTCCCAACGTAGGCCTACTGTATACACAATAAAAAAGAGTCAATACATGACAGAATAAGAAAAGAACAAAACAAAATAAGATCTAAAATGTAACGGTATTGATCTAAATACACATACAATAATGAAATAATTTTTCCTATTAAAAGTTCAAACCCACGTCTGAATGACTTCATGCCTACACATTGTGTGTACATGAGTCAGAATTTCAATGTAGTGTCATATTTAATGTTGTTCCAAAAGTCTACGATGTGATTGTTTCACTCAAATTAAAGCCTAGGGCTCTAAATTGTTGGGACAGGGGAGCCTCAAAAATTTGATGGCTAAATTTCCCATTAATTGTATGATGAGGTGAAAGAAGATGTTATTTAACAAACACTTCTGCAAGGATCTTCAAAACAATTGTGTTATTAGTAGCCTAGTCATTTATAGACAAAAATGGATGAAAGGATACATGTACAGGTACATGTACTGTACATGTACAAACTGAGGTTTTCAGTGTAAACAGAAAACCTAAATATGGTGTTCTTTCATTAATATTTTGCTCAAAAAACATTTGTTTTGAAAATCCTTGCAGTAGTACTAGTGTTTATTAAAATGACATCTCTTTTCACATCATTATAAAATGCACATGTACAGTAGGTGAATTTTTGTCATAATTTTTTGGCAAATTTTGGGTTCCCAACACTACAGAGGGGCTTTAAAGCTGATATTCTAAGCAAATAAATGACCCTTAATTTGGTACCTATGGCAAGCATATGTTATTTATAAGTTTTTCAATTACTTAGTATATCACCGAAAAATTCTTGCTACTCGAAATCCTTGATTGAAATGTCGAAAATTCCGCCTCTCTTTGCATAGAAAATCAGTCACGGCGCTGGTCTACTATATGACATCACGTCCGGGAAAGAGTATATTCAAGTACCCGGATGTTCCATAGAAAGCATGTGCAGAGAGATACGATTTTCTGCTTATTTTTGTTTCAAAGGCTGAAAAGTCTAATAAATCATAGTATCAATATAAATTCCCCTTTTAAAAATTATGACATACTGTATACTGTACATGCCAACGATGTGCTTTTACCGGTAGTCGATATTTTCACTGTGTAATTTTTTGTTTTGGTGTTGAAATCGGCCCAGGCACGGAGTGCACAGTAGCTGTCTGGTAAGTGGGCCCATGCACAGTTCATTACCATACATACAGTGATCTCCCGATGGTTTCTTCTTCCTTTTTCCCATGTCTTTCGCCTTTCTTGGCCCTTCATCTTCTTCCGGCCATGCTGTGCATTGTGCAAGATCTACCAATTCTGACACCGGTAGTCAGGAGCAAGTCTTTGTTAGTTGTTTTTCTTAGCTGCATGGTAATGTCGCTTTTATTCTCTTGCAATTGCCGATAATATATAACTAGCGCACGTACATGTACGTTCCATCACAAACAAGCCGCGCCTAGAGCAGCGGCCTGGTCTTACCTCCCGATTCTGCTCGCTTCACGAACGTTCGTGCAAGAGCTGCATCACTCGCGGATAAATATTGTTCGATCACTAGACATGATCTCGTGATCATGATCTCGTTCAAGTTTGATATTTTACAACATAAAATGTTTAACTGGTACTGTATCCTTTTTTGATGCAGTAACACACATCTATGATAAGTACTATCATGGTTCTAGGCCGATTCGTCATTTTACAAAACTGCTCCTGTACCTTATCTGATGACAAGATAATGCATCCGCCTATTCATACGTGCATGATTTAACCTTGTTTCCCAAGCAGTAAATTTGTCTTAAATCTCTACCAAATAGGTGAATATGAGGATATAAAAAGAAATCAGCGATTGGAAAATGTTGCTTTGTTATTCTTCATTCAAATGAAAACAGAAAATCCATTAAATATACCCATTTACTACAACAAATCTAAGCTCTGACAGGATAGCATTTACGTAGGGATGTCACTGCTATTCACTCTCACTGAGCCCATGAGTCCCGTTCGTGACGCACGGATAGAGGCCCGACTCTACATGCACTTCCGGGTTTAAGACTTAGAAGTTTGGTAGAGTTTACTCGCATAAATTCACCATTCTTATTCTAAAATGCACAAAGTGGGACTTCTCCATGTTAAAAAGAAAATAAGAATCTACATGTACATGCATATATTTGATTGTCATTTATAATTTACACAATGGTCTAAATAAAAGCACAACTACAATTTTGTAACTTGCGATAATTTCTTGGTGTTAATGGCCATTACAGGCATACTACAACTTTGACTTGGGCTTGACCACTCCAGCAAAGCATAGATGCATATTGACCTCTAGCACTGCATACTTGCAGTGAGGAAGGTATTATTAGACCTATACACAAATATACACACCAAACAATATTGCATAGACTGCACTGCACATAATCATGCCGATGCGGCTGTAAGCAAAGTTTGACAGTAGATTTACAATTTGAATTTTTAAATTATTCTTTTTAACACCAGTAAGTTGAAAAAAATGTATTTTACTGCTATTTAGGTGTCATCAATGCAACTGTCACTAAATTACCGATATTGGGTGAAATCAGTTGAGTTTTGTACAGTGGTGTTTGAAATGTTGAGAATCAAAAGCACAGCTTTTACTACACAGCCAGGATAGCTAGGTAGGGATGCTCCTATGATATGTGTGGGCTTGACCTGCACCAAAATTGACACAGTCCCAAATACCGCATCTATCTTCATCTAGTAATAGTAGATCTAGACCATATCTAGACCAGATGTAACTTTAGAAATTATTAAAACATATAGATTTGTTATAAATCCAGAAACAATTGCAACATAATGAACATTTCGCAAATTGTAAACAACACTCGATCTCGACATCCATCCATGTTTAGACTATTTGCAATCACGATCACTGAGCATATTTATATTTATAACAAATTAGTTTGTGTCACTTGTCAGATTGTAGATTGTGTTATTCAATATTTTATGGCATAAAACTTGAGTGATTTCAAGTCAATCAAAAAATTCGCAAACATTTTGCGACTGAAAAAGAGACCCTCTGCACTGCTGCTCTGCTGTGCACCCGAGCGAGCGACTGCGACCCCGAGTGCAGAGGCGCTGTAGGCCATAGCGCTTGGCGAAGCCAAGACTGCTTGCTGTGCCGAGAACTGCTCTAACAAACGCCGTGTCCAGTGCAGTGAGTGCCTATGCTTGGGTATGGCTTCAATTCGACCGCAACAAACAACAGTCCGAAAAAATGCACACACAAACAGGATTCTACTACAGATAAATTATTGACATTTAGAGAGAAAATTGTCACAGGCACCATGAACATTAAGTTTTGCGATATTCTGAACTTACGATTAAGATGATTTCCGTCTGCAAATAGTCAATTTTGGGGTACTTTTGCCACGCCTAACTTCTCGTTCTGAAATCCTTGTTTACGATACAACTTTTCAAGCTTACCTTCAATCAAGGCTTACGGCTTTTTTTTTTTCTCTCTCTCTCTCTCTTATTATTTTGTTATATTTTTGTTTTTGTTATGATGATGAATTCTATGTTGTCACTGTTGCTAAATATTAACGTTTTTATTGGTTTCGACGGAAGTATAATTTAAAGTGAATTTGCCATTTATTTCTGCGGCAGATACTTTTTGTTGTCGTATTCTGAATGATGAATGATGAATGTAATAAAACTACTCAATAATGTTGTTACATAAGTTTGACAAACTAAACTTTATTTTACTTTTGACTTTTCATAATTTTATTTTATTTTTGTTTTATAATTCTGAAAACTCATATGCATATATGCATCTCAAAGAAAATACCAATATAAAGAAAATCATATACCACAATGATGAAGAGTACAACAGTGCATTTCATGTACTATGCCTGAAATTATTCGTTTCCTGTGGGGGGGGGGGGGGGGCAGGCACGTAGCCAGAGTTTGATGATTGGGGGGGGGGGCACACATACATGTAATTGATCGAGGTAAAAAAAAGGGGGTCTAAAAAAGTTCAACCGATCTTGGAAGAAGAAAAAAAATGGGGGGGGGGGCACTGGTCTGACACGGAAAAGTAAATGTGTCTAGCTTAGAGATACAATTGTTGCGGGAGGTATGTCCAGGCGTCTTCTTACCTCGACCCCCCTTCTCTCTCTCTCTCTCTCTCTCTTTTCTGTCTGTCTCTGTCGCTCAAGGGGGGGGGGGGTGCACTTGGGCCAACAACAAAAAATGTGCTCAAACCCCCCCCCCCCCCCCGCCCCATACTGATCGAATTTTCGGCCGGCGCGATTTTCAAATTTTCGGGAGCAAAACAAAAAAAAAGTGCTCATAAAAGATTGGGCTCCGACCCCTATAAGAAATCCTGGATCCGCGCCTGCTGTCTCTGTCTCTCTGTATCTGTCTCTATCTCTATCCCTCTCTATTTGTTAATTTCACTCCCCCCCCCCTTCCGTTTTTATATTTTCACTACTCGAATGTATCTACGCTAATTTATTAACGCAGATCTTAATTTGAAAATCTATAGACCGAGAAAAGTCGGCAAGGGGGTCAGGAGAAAGGGTGAATATTATAAAGGGGGTCGGAGTGATGGCTTCTAGAAGAGGGGAGGGAGGGAGGGACTAAGAGAAAGAGAGAGAGAGAGAGAGAGAGAGAGGTAGGGGGGTGAGGGGGAGAGTAGGGGGGGGTAGTAAAGAAAGATATTATGAAGAGCAGGGGTCGATGCGATGGGTTTGGTCTTGATCTCTTTCTTTGTCCAAAAAATTGTAATGCTTAGTCAACCCGGGCGACACATTGGGGGGGGGGGGGGCTGCTTAGAAACACAGCGGGGAAGGGGTGGAAGCTTCTTCTTCTTCATTTTGTTTAATTCCATTCTCTTTCTCCTTAATAATCCTGATATTGGCACATGGGATTTATTTAAATTTAGTTAGGCCTATTATTGTTGAGAAATTTTATTAGGAGTATTAATTTTTCTTCGAACTCCTACGACACGTGTTGCTATGCTAGTTAAACATCAGATGGAACAATTATTTGGGATCTGTGGAAACTGACACTCAAAGTATAGCCGGGCCCCTAATACAGTCACTGTCTTTAGCGACCGCCCAAGGGAAAGTGGTCTTTGTAAACAGGTTCCTTTAGAACATGTTTCAATGAGAAACAAATTTCAAGGGAAACAAAATGTCTTTTTATAGATAGATATAGGTGGTCACTATAGGTTCGACTGTACTTGTAAGAGAAGCTGCACCATTTTTGTATAATCATATTTACAAAGTGCAAACATTAATATAGTTGCAGTCAGTATGCCGAATTGCAAACATTGCCTGTTGTTGTCACTACGCGGTAGTATTCATGTATTACCTCGTCTCTAATTGATATCAATTTGAAATGGTCTACTTTAAATTACGGTAATGTAAGAGAAGCTCCCCGGCCATAAATATTGTAAAGCCGGCTATAATTATTATGAGCAGAGTTATATCAAAACAATGGTCTCGGTTACAATCATGTAGTAACATTAACTTTTAATTTTTTTTAAAAATTGTAAGTGAGTATACGAACTTTCTGGCAATAATTAAATCATCTAAAGATTATGAAATGACAAATGAGGATTTTTTTAAAGTAAAAGGTTGACAGTGGACGATAACGTACGATATGCGCTCAATCTTATTTGCAACATGATATCAAATACAGTATCAATTTATCAAAATAATATAAAAAAAACATTGAGGCCAAACCAAAAAAAAAAAAAAAATTGATTTCAAGTTTATTGCGAAATCATAATGGAAAGAAACAACAAATTTGGAAAATATTATATCAATGATGACTGATAAAACCCTGTTCATGTTGGTCGAGCGTCATCTCTTGTTGAAAACATTACAGTGAAAAATATATTTTGAATGCTTTTTATTGAGCTCATGTATGTAAAAACATAAATCTAACTACATAACCAGGGGCGTACGCAGGGGGGGGGGGGGGGGGGGGGGGTTTTGGGGGTTCAAACCCCCCTTTGGTATTTTTATGTGTGTAAACCCCCCTAAAAAAAAACCAAACCCCCCCCCCCCCCCCCCCCTTTGGTTTTTTTTTTTTTTTTTTTTTTTTTTTTTTTTTTTTTTTTTTTTTTTTAATTATTAAAAAAAAATAAAAAAAAATTATACCCACGGTTAACCTAAAAAAGGTGACCTTACCCCCTCCCCAACGAAGAAAAATGTCAAATTTTGAAATTTCGAGACCAAAAAAAAAAAAAAAGTTCCCACTGCGAGGGGAAAATTACTTTTTCAATGACAGAAAACATTCAGTGCCAAAATCCAAGCTTTTGAGGACGTCCCTTGGTCTGAAAGTATAAGGATTTGACCCTGATATTAGAAATTAAAAAAACCCCTTCCTAATCTATATAATATGGACGTCAGGAGATCGGGTGAGGGTGCAAAAAGAAAAGAAAAGAAAAGAAAAGAAAAAGAAAAAGAAAAGAAAAGAAAAGAAAAGAAAAGAAAAGAAAAGAAAAGAAAAAGAAAAGAAAAGAAAAGAAAAGAAAAGAAAAAGAAAAGAAAAGAAAAGAAAAGAAAAGAAAAGAAAAGAAAAGAAAAAGAAAAGAAAAGTAAAGAAATGAAGAAGAGAAAAAAGAGAGAGAGAGAGAAAGAAAGGAAAAAATAGGAAATAACCAAAAAAAAAAAGGGGGGGGGGGGAAGGAGAGAAAATTGAAAAGAAAAGAAAAGAAAATGAAGAAAAAAAAAGAAAAGAAGAAGAGAAAAGAGAGAGAGAGAGAGAGAGAGAAAGAAAGGAAAGAATAGGAAATAACCAAAAAAAAAGTGAAAAAAAGGAGAGAAAAATGAAAAGGAAAAGAAAATAAAAAGAAGAAAAAAAAAGGAAAAGAAGAAGAGAAAAGAGAGAGAGAGAGAAAGAAAGAAAGGAAAGAATAGGAAATTAACAAAGAAAAAAAAACGGAGAGAAAAATGGGGGAAAAAATGCAATTCAGAAGAAAAGAATAATGAAAAGAAAAAGAGGAAAGAAATGAAAATAAAAGAAGTGAAGATAAGAGAGCAGAAGAGAAGAGCGAAGAGAAGGGAAGAGCTAGAGAGTGGAAAAAGAAAAGGAAAAGAAAAGGAAAGGAAGGCTCATACCATGCATTTTAATGAATCATGCTTCAGTGAATTTTTCCAGGAGCAAAATGAAATGGAAAATAGTTTACATAAGAACTATTTATAGGTATTGCACAATACACGGAATACAAGAACCAAGCGAGTCGAGTTTAGCCATAGACATTTAATAGTGTCAAGACAATCTACTCTGACTTATTTTCGTAGTACCTCCGTGGAGATTACTATACTATAGCAATAGCGCTAAAGAATCTGTAGCTGTTCATGAATATCCGCCTTAGTTTTCACTTTAGCTTTCAGCGATAAATTAAGGTAAGTGAGAAAACTTTCAAGCTTGTAGCTTATATCAATTTTGAATATATTATTTTCATAAAATGTTAATATTGGCATCATTATACATTATTTCATAAGTTTATTTCTTTAAAAAAGCTGTCATTTACTTGATAAATCCTGTCTAATTGACCAGTGAAAGTCTTGCAAGGCTTCACACACTGACACAGTTATTTATGGCAGGATGTGTGGTCCCATGTATTGCTTTGTGTGTATTAAAATCTACTGTAACTTGCATGAACATGATGAATGTCTTAACTTACTTTGGTTTGGGTTTGACTCAGTCAAGAGTCTAGCACTTTATTCAATCATCATTTTGGAATGACATCGATCGTGTACTTGTAGATCTGGCAAGACCAGTCAGGCGCAGTGCTGGTTGCCAGCGGTCCGATCTTGACTTTTTTGTTATCAAACATTCTTTTAATAATTTTTAGATCTAGACTGCAAATTTTTCAAAAGCTGACAATCATGATGATGATAATCATCCTACAATATTAAAAAAGCAAACCTTAACTACAGAGACGCCAATTTTAAAGATCAGCTATGCATGACATTTTCATGACTTGGCGCACGATGATGCGAGAGGGTGACGTATAGACTAGCGAATAACGTTTTTTCAAAGTCGCGCTCGTCGTGCGTGAGAGCGTTTTCAGAGTTTCAGACCCTCAAAATGTGTGACGTCACGCATAATGCGTGACACTTGGTAGCTCTGTAATTAGAGTAAAGGAGCCCGTTTTCGGCCACTTAAGACAAAATCCTATTTTTAGGACCCTTTACTTCCTATTTATTATCATTTTTTGTTCAAATCATGAAGCAAATATTATTATTTAAACAAAACAAGAATCCCAGAAAAAAATCACGAATTGCCATGACAATATTCATTTCAATTTTCACTGTTTCGGAGTCAGTTTTCGGCATAGCGTACCAGTTTTTGGCCGCATGTACAAAGTCAATAGGAAGCGCGCGCACGCGCCGTGCGTTTCCGCGCTGATCTATAGCACTAGCGGGCGGAGCAGATATCCCACGCCGGAGCTCCCCGGAGCTCGCCAGGCCGAAAACTAGTACTGTGGTGATCGGATATTGGAATCTGAATTAGACAGAGATATCGTGTGTGCGTTGCGGTGTGCGGCTGCATTGATTTAATACATGCGATGAGATACTTTTGAGCTTGCGACTAGCACAAAATCGGGCTCTAAATCTGAAAAATACTTGAAATAAAGCTCATTTTATGGTACCCATATTTCTTACAAACACGCGTAAGATACTCGATTTTTCAGATTCGGGTAGCGAGACCGCCGATTACATTGCTAAAATGTGATATTTTTGGATATATTTAATATTATAATATGGTTCTTCAGTGACACTGGCATGGTATGGTATGTGTGGGATATGTGTTATGCTATTATGCGATGTATTTTAGAGTGATTTTACCTCGCATCCAACCAATCGGCCGAAAACTGGAGCTGGCCGATTACCGGCTCCTTTACTCTATGCATGATGAATATATAAATTTCATTACATGATTATTAACTCCGCGGGAAATGCTCCCATCAACGATTCTCTCTGCCGCATGCAGAAATTCGCATTGCCTTCTTGATTGTAACATCACACTGTCCCATATTTTCTCTCTTTTCTTCCGTCTTGTCTAGTCTTTTCTCTCAATTTTTGTTGTTGATGTGTGTGTACACTTCTTGTTTCTGATACCACCTTTTTCCTAATGTATTCTTAGGTACATGTAGTCACAAATATGTACTCCCATTATGTTTATCTTGTTGCTTATTGATGTACCAACTACCAACCAAAAACCCTAAAACTTACGAGCTCTGCTCTTGCCAGGATCTCCTCGTCTTTCTTTTAGTTCACTTTGTCTTTATCATTACCATAATTTGTTTTTTGCATTGTAAATGTGTAATGATCTAATGTTATGCTCTGTCTATGTGTACAGGTACAGTGTATGTCATTTGAAAGAAAGACAACTAAATATCTTATCTTATAAATAATAATTCATAAATTAAAGACTAGAAGTAGAAATTAGAATGTGGAAGAAACATTATGAATCATTTGAATGTGATGTCATTTCAAAACCACACTCTTGCATAATTTAATATGGGTTCCATGAACAGAGGATGGGCATCAAAGCAAAGCTTTTTTAATAAAGATGGCAAGAAGTTATGCTTTTCAAAACTCAATATATATATATTCTTCACCTCGAATGAATTTATCACAATCTTATGCTTCAAAAATACACTGTGATTTGTTCATCAAGTCTTTTTCTTCATATAAATACTACTGGTATGTTGTTTTGGCCTAGCGCTTTAAAACAAAGGCGCGAATCCTGAGGGGAAGCCCTAGCCCTGCTGACAAATATCTACCAACCCCCCTCCCCCCTCCCTTTCAGAATGGATTTCATCCCCTTTGTGTCTACATGTATGTGAATTGTCATGTTTTCTGTCTTTTTGCTTTGGAGATTTTGTGTGTAGTTTGTTTATTGAACAAAATAACATGCATGTGGGCAATTCCACGGTAACGGAAGGACACTCAGACAAGATTTTTGAACTTCAGGTTCATACTAAAAGAACTGTTTTATTAGTATAAGATGTGAAACAGTACAGATATAATACCTACATGTATGTAAGTGCCTTTAATTCTCCCCCAAAAAATTGTCATTATAGTTAAGTAGTTTAAGAATGTGCATATTAATTATCTCGGTAACGGAAGGACATAAAAATGGACATGGTTTTTCCAGTTAATTAGTGTTTATCCAAACTTTGTGAAGTTGATGAAGCTTTCCACTTGACTGAAACACATTTTGTTCCCCATAGTTTAATACATACTAATAAAACATTTCTTTTAGTATGAACCTGAAGTTCAAAAATCTTGTCTGAGTGTCCTTCCGTTACCGTGGAATTGCCCATGTGCCTTATTCTGGTGATGGTTTGGGAAGAATACTGGGTACTTACAGTAGAGGGTTTTCTCAAATCTATAGTAGACTTAGACTAACTTACATGGAGTCATTGCAGGCTAATAATATTGGCAACATGGGAGGCCCTGTGTAGAGGAGAGTCGCCACCTATACTGTAAACGTTAAGAACCCACTGCACTATTGGTATAAGAGTAGGGGGAAACCCCTAGTGGTCCACCTGCACACCCCAGTATATATACTTTTCTTTGTTCTTTTGTGAGCTGAATACAAAGATGTATTTATGAGACTGTCTCCCACGTGGGAATTTCATTCACATACACGTAGTCTCCAAATTGGGCCATACAACTGTTGGTACATACATGTACATGTACTTTGGGATATCATGAAAAGCATTCTGATTTTTCATTTATGCCATCCAGGACCCGTCTTATAAAGAGTTGTGATTGATACAAATTGATTGCAATTTGCAAGTCCTCTAATCAATCACAAGTTTGCACTCTCCAATCTTTTACATGTACATGTATGTACATACATTGTAGTTGCGATTGATATCAATCGCAAGTGTAGTTGCGATTAATCGTAACTGTGTACATATGTACAAGACAGGGCCCAGAAAAGATGAAACACTCCAATTAGCCATACTGTATTTGCCTATCCGAAAGTACTTTAAAACAAAATTTTTGTTAGTTGATTATTTGTATGATTTAAGTCCAAGCTCAATGACCACTGGAAACTGAAGTGTAATAATTTTGAACCTAACTGTTTAAACTAAATTTTGACCCTTGAGGATTGATTTGATGAGCTTTAAGTGATCAGGGATCAGACCTGTCGAATGGCCCTCTACAAGTCTTTAGACTTAATGTGCGTTATGATATCCAGGTAATATACATGTAGGCTTAGAAATCTCAAAAGTCAATATTTTCAGACAAAGAAACCTCCTGTCCTGTATTGTGATGTACATGTATTCCTTTAGGCTTACTTTGTTCCGTCAGGTCTGTGTGTTGTGTTGTAACACAAACTTTTGTGAAAATATACCTCCAATGTCCATACTCACTAAAGGTTGGGTAAAATTAATGAAAATAATCACAATTTTTCCAAAGGTGGGCCATCAGATACATGTACGTGTACATTTGTGAAAGCATGCCCATCCAATCAGAAAACGATGAGGTGTCAATCGCTGGCCTTTTTAAAAATAAACTCTTGTAATTATTTATCTTAAATTAAAAAGTGTCCAGTTGAGATTAGACTTTTTCGTAGATTTGCTGTATCATAGTGTAAAGTCCCACACAAAACAAAAGTGGTCTCACATGGTTGAGGACTTGAGCTGCACTATAGATTTTATTCCAACCACAAAATGGCTGCCAAGATGGCTGACATGCAGTCCATCAAACAATAATCACCAATCACAAGATTGGACAATAAGTAGGTAACCAATAGAAAAGCTTGTAAAAGATAGAGTGCCATGTGCCATGTGTGCTGGGTTGAATAGCTAAGAGATAAGGAAGAGTGTGTGTGTGTGTGTGGTGCTATAGCAGGTAATGTGCATGAGGATGAATGAATAGGGACAGAACAATAGAAGCCAAGAGCTAGCAGACAGGAGAGAATGAATGTAGGTCAGGAGTGCGCTAAAGCATAACGGAGTGGAAAATAAATGTACAGTGTAAAATAAACAAGTAACCACTTGGATCAGTGAAATTAAAACCTTACAATAGGTTTTCAGAACTTTTTGGGTAAACTAGACCCAATATTTTGGCGATAAGAGGGGCATATTTCTCAAACTATGTTACATCCAATTTGTGGGTAATTAGGGTTCGTGGAACATGAAGACGCGAAGACCTGATTGAACAAAGTAAGCCATTCCTTTCATCATCCTCATTTTACATTGTATGTTGTAATCCACAATTCCACATTTTCCTATTTTCCTATTTCATATGTACCTGTAGAACAACATAGGTGTTTGGCTGATCTTTCTTCTTGAACTTTGACCTTGCTCGCTGATTGTTCATCTAACCTGCCTGGTGTTTTGGATGTGGGCTAAAGCAAGTTATCTTCACAGATCTATCCTACATGTAGATTGCCCTAACTGCATGTCTGACACTGCAAGTTTATTCACTATTTGCCAACTCTGCATGCAAGCCCAGCACTTGTTTTAACTGACCATGGGCGCTAGTAGTAGCGTGCACAAACACAAAAAAGATAAAGGAAGAATCAGCCCAAATACTCCAAAGAGCGGAGATCCTATAGACGGTAGTAACCATAGACAGGAATGTGTGGTAGAGGATATTCCACAAAAACGGAATCAAGATGGCGAAAATCAAGAAGTGACTACCAAGAGCAAATCTACGTCTCCACAGGTTGAAGGCCCTTCGGCACAGGATTCACAGGTTGGGATGGAGAGACAGACGGAGCGTTCATCAAGCATGGAACCCAAGGACCTCATGATCAGTTACAGCCATCAGGACAGGGACAAGATGAGGATGATGATAGGTAAGATTCTATCTGATCATGAATGATACTACTTCTAATAATAAGATTGCTGATGATGCTGCTGAGGATAATGGTTATGATGATGATGATGATGATGATGATGACGCTTGTGATGAGGATGATGACAGGTGAGTTTCTATCATGAATGATGCTACTAATAAGAGTGCTGAGGAGGAGAAGGATGTTGATGGTGGACTTGGTGGTGGTGGTGGTGATGCTGATGATGTTGATGATGAGGAGGATGATTATTATGATGTTGATGATAATGGTTATGATGGTGATGCTGATGATGGTGATGATAATGGTGGTGGTTATGATGCTAATAATGATGACGATGTTGATGATAAGGATGATGATGATGATGATGATCACAGATGATGATGATGATGGTGGTTTTGATGATGGTTATGATGATGCTTGTGATGAGGATTGTGATGATGGTGATGAAAAATCATGATGATAAATGATGATAAGTAATGGTGATAAATATATTCAGTGATACGGATAATGGAATTGTAAGTTTCTAATCGTAAATGATGAATATATATATGTTAATGTATTACTTCATAATCAAAGGGGTTATGCATGATCATTAGTCGAATTCAAAATTTACCCCTATTTGTACTTTGAAAAACATTTCTTTAAAAGATAAGACCCCTGTGTGAGGAAAAATGGGTGCAAATGGTCTCTAGATATGTGCATAACTTTTCTTTTGTTCGTATCAAGTACACATTTCACAAAATTTACCCTACATGTACTTTGCAATAATACATAAAAATGCATTCTGACATAGCGCAATATCTGAACCTTAAAAAGAAAATATATTGTGGTGATAGTGGTGGTTAGTTTACCTGACATTAAAGAAAGCAATAAATGCTTGTTAGTAAGCAACCAGAAGACCAACGGCTTTAGGTCCTCTCCGAGGGACCTGGTAATGAGAATTAATGCCTTACCAAAGGGCAGTAGCGCATCGCCTTGGTTTCATACCCGGGTCAACGGGTTACTAGACCACTGCTCTACCGACTGAGCTATCGCGCCTCTTCTATTGCTGTTTGATAAAACTGCAACCTTTTACTAATATTATCTATATGTGCATTTAGATGCCCTAGAGAAAGCTGGTATCTCTGTATGGGTCGATGAGACGGGTTTGAAGGCTGGCGTCGAGTTCCTGAACAAGATTGGACAAGCTATCATAGATGCCAAGGTATGTCTCTTATTCCCACTACCATGCGTAAACCCAGAGCAATTTATGGTCCCTTTTTAGCGACATTTTATTATTTTTTAATCTTTTTATCTACATGTAGGATGCTCGGAATGACATATTTTACATAATTTGGAGAAAGTGCAAAAAGTCTCTGTGAATTTTGAGTTCATTTCCGTGTCAGTACATTGTGCCATTCATGAATAAGAGCGATTTGATCAAAAATAATCATTGACATCTCTAAATTGGCAGTGCAGAGAGAGAGAGATGTATAATCACTGTTTCTGTTTTTTTTACACAATGGCTGTTTCATGTTGATTTAAAAACAAAAAATTATTCGCACCGATTCAACTGATTACGGTATACATTTTAACTACATGTATGAAAAGAGTGGAAATTACAAATAATTGTTACGCAACTTGACGAGGAAAATCCAATTTATTTTGACCTTTTAAAAAAAAAATTCTGCTAATATGGGTTAAATTACATGTAAACCTAATCAAGTGTTTAATAGCGTAGCATAAGCCCAACGGTCAATGGGAAGTTCACCCTGATATTAAGTCGGTTCTAATGTCAGCAGAAAAATGAGAGAAACAGGTCAGGGAAAGTTTGAGCAAAAAGCAATTCAAAACAAGAAAGTTATGAATTTTGGAAGGTGCAATTAATCAAACACTTTTTTTTTGCTTAACTACTGTGCATGTACATATTGTACATACATGTCTGTACCCTTGTAGCTAAATTGTAGGCCACTGCTCTTTATCCAATGAAGACAAGTGGCATCCGGTCTGGTACATATTTTTCTTATTAAAATTCTGTGATTTCAAGGCCAAAAAAATATAGCAGACTCATGATCAGACGAGGCAAATATTTGGCCTACTTTTGGGTCATTTTTTTGTTACAGTTGAATAGTCATTGTGCTTTACGTGTAAAGTAAAATTTGCTTAGTCAATAGAATGGTGTGTAAACAAATTGAATGGTGTGTAAACAAATGCCTGAAACTCAAAAGAAATTGCAATGTCAATGCATTGAGAGGCAAAGGAAATTCCACACCTAATTTAGCAAGCTACGGTACTCTAAAAGAAAGCAGAAATGGTGTCTAAGAATTTTCTGTAAGGTTTTTTGTAAAAATATTGAAAGAAGCACAGTAAGAATGAAACCACAGTCCATTGGCAAGCTCTGTGTAATGTTAGAACATGGCTTGCCCTGTGTGCAAAAACCTTATAAATGTCAGTACTTCTAAATACGTTTTTCTTTCCAAATGTATCTTCATGTGCATGTGTATTGGTGTGATAGTTTGTTCACTTGACTCTCAATCCAAAGGTCGAGGGTTCAAATCCTGACCTGGCACTAGCATGTGCATCCTTTGGCAAGGCAGTAATTCACATTTGCCACTTTTCACCCAGGTGTTAATTGGATACTGGGTAGGATGCAAAGGTCATTGTAGTTTGTTCAGCACTGTGAGCGTCTGTAAAGTGGCGTAACCATTCAAGTCATTGTATCTGTTCATCTTAGTGCTGCATACACCATTCCACTCTCTCCATTGCTGATTTTTGAACCCCTTTCTCTTCCCTCTCTCTCTTTTTACCTTGTCTCTCGATCTCCACTCTCTTTAAATCTCCCTCTCTCTTCCCCACTTCTCTCTCTGTCTCCCCTGCCCTTTGTCTCCTCTGTCAATCTCTTGTATTTCAATCTCGCTCTCTTCCCTCTCCCTTTCCCCCTCTCCCTTTCCCTCTTCTCACTTTCCTTCTTCTCCCTTCCATCTTCTTTCTTCCCCTTCCCTTTCTGTCCTTCTCTCTCAATCTCTTGCTCCCTCTACTTTGTTCTATCTCGATCTCTCTCTCTTTTGATCTCGCTCTCCCCTGCATAGGTTAAAGGTTCATAGTAGTGGGTTCCAATGGGGAATTTGACACCATTTGGGTGTTTACCCAATAAGGTGTTATCAGTCACCAAGATTGGACTTCACTTTTTTACCCAACAGGTCTTATGTAATGCACGGTACCTTGAACTTATAGTACTGCCATTATGATAATGAATTCTCATCATAATAATACTTCCTTCACTCTCGAGATATGAAGGCAAGCTGGAGTATTTTCTGGTGGGACAACAGGTTTCGCTGCCTAAGAGACCTGTACACACATTAATTGGTAATTCAACTAAATCTGGTGTCAACAAATTATGATGCATACGTCTGGGGGGTGTTTCACAAAGATCCTACGTTGAACTTATCTACATGTATAAGCGTCCTTAAAGGTAAAGACCAGTATTGGAAACGCCCCACTTTCAAAAATGAAATGGAAGCTCTCATTACCAATCATGTGAAAGAATATGTTTTGACTAATACATGATGATAAAAAAAATGCCGGGAAACCGCCTACTAATTCATATATTTGGTAAATTTGTTTCTCTCATGGTCTGTGAGAGATATAGGGTAGTCCCATATACATCTTTCTGTGTATAGTGCTTGTAACTTTACGAAGAATGGGCCAAATTTCTTATCATTTTGATGATTCCAGAACCTTGCAGATGCTAGATGCTAGATGATCAACCTTTTCTGATCGATTCCACAACGTTTCTTTCACAATGCAATCGCATGACCATAACTGGTCTTTACCTTTAAAAATATTTTGTAAAAGTTATTTTAAAAAGCATAAAATGTTGATTCAAATCATTCATATTTTCTATTATCATGGGAGATTTCATGTTCTTTTGATTTGATTTTGATTTTGATTTGATTTATTGGTTTCTGCATCTTTTTTTTTCTTTTTTCATCATACATTTTCATGAACATAATATGGTTTGATACAATATTTTAAGTGTATATAATTTTATACAGATAATGAACGAATTTAAACAAATATATTGAATGCATTTATTAACATACATTAGATGCAGGAGGGCTACAGAAATAAGCAAAGTAGCTTGACGTGCCCGCAGCCCTCAACTTAGATACAACAACAATAACAAATACAAATAGAAAAGACTGACTTGCAGAGAAGAAAAGGAAAGGGGAGAGAAGGAGCGTTGGTAATAACACAATAAATCTCGTACATCTGCTGATTGAATGCAGGTTTATTCATAAAATGGCTAAACGATGCTAGGTCATGGACGAGTACACATCATTATTGAATATACAGTCACTGTACACACGAACATGAATACAGTGCAATTACACACGACATGATCAATACTTAGACAATAACATAGTTTTAACTGCCTTCTTAAATGAATACAATGTCCTAAGGTTTCTTGATGTGGAATTTTATGAAAAGTCTAAAATACATCAATTTTTGCTTTTTGATATATTTCATTATAAGGCTACAAATGGCTCTCCATAATATTTAAGTCAAACTTAGAGTTAAGGGCAACTTTGAATCTTTGTGAAACACCCCCCTGGACACCGACTGCTATGTGGCTTTAATTATCCATTCATGCACTTCATCATCAACTCATATTTGTGACTCATTTGAATGTACCCTCTCTTTCTCTCTCTCCATCTCTCTTTAGCTCTTCCTTTCACTCCTCAGTACCAGGTCTGCTACCTCTAAGTACTGCAAAGACGAGTTAGCCTTGGCCTATGTCTCCAGCAAACCCATCTACCCTTGCATGATACAACCTCATAAGCAAGTCACAGAGGTCATGGATTTTGGCATGTAAGTAGGGCTCGTCCGAACAGCATAGGCCAATAAACAGGAGCCAACCTATTGGGTGTTTAGATGAGAATTTAATGCTTCGATCTACTGACATCAATCACATATTTGGGCTTGTTATAAGGCTCGTCCGAACAGCGTCGGCCAAGAATCAGCAACCAATAGGTTGGGTGTTTAGATTTACATTTAACAAACTTTGCTAATGTCCAAATTTGATACCTGACTGTAGCTCCAATTTTGATCATCATGTTTTCATACAATTGTTCTACATGAATTTATTTCCATTTCTCCATCATACTCTTCTTCTTCTGTTTCCAGACATTTTTTGTATAGTAAGTCTATTTACATAATTTGCTGATTGGTACCACAGATCTACTGCAAGATAAACAAGTCAGAATATGGTTTCCTTGCCAGAAGTCAAGACCTGAGCAAAAGAAGGCTCGTCCAAATAAAGCAGCCGCAACCCCCCCCCCCCCCACAACAACCAAACAAACGCTGCAGTATTTCTAAGTGTAAAAGAATGCCATTTGCACGCTACATGTATTCACTGAGCACTGTGTCATAAGATAAATATTTTGAACCCTTTTACACTGACTTTATAAAAATACATCAATACACCACAGTTTACTGCGTAATGTCTGAACAAGGCTTGTGCTGCAGCAAAAAAGTGTAGGTACCCTGTTTCGATTGACTCTACACCTTTCAAACACTATGATGCAAACAGTCCGTTATTATGCACAGTGCACATGGCATGACCAAACTGTTTATTTGCACAATTATGACTTATTGGTTCTTTTGATACTTGATCTGTACAGATTTATATATGTGGTTGAAGGCTACTGCTTACTGGTGTGGTGAACCGCGAACTTCATCTCATATCGTTTGCAGTTGATTTGTTAATCTTTTGTGGTTTTTCTTCATCATCCGTGTGGTTTCACTTTCATGTCCTGTTTAATGAGAAACCTGTGTGGAGCAAATGGAAAATGGTTGCTTATGCAGTACACTCTGTACATATAGTTAACAACTAAAAGTATTCATACCCTTGCCAAGTTTTTTAGTTTTCTTACCTCTTTTTATTAAATAATTGTGACAATATTGTTTATCCTTGATAGATAAAGCTTTGTGAATATATAAACCTTTAATATCCATCATGAATAAATCATATTGTCAAAATCATTGAATTAAAAGTTTTTTTTAGTTTTCTTACCTCTTTTTATTAAATAATTGTGACAAAATGGTAATATCCTTGATAGATAAAGCTCTGTGAATATATAAACGTTATCGATCGTGAATAAATCATATTGTCAAAATCATTGAATTAAAAGAGGTACGAAAAAGAAATATTCCTACTCCATGGGCAATAGTGTATTTCAGAAATTTGAGCTATATATAAACAGTCCCTTTTGAGGACTACACACACTCAAGAAAGAGAAATTTCGAGAGTCCTTTTCAGGACTTCCAATCCTACCTCTCTCTCACATGGTGCAACTGCAAGCCTACTGTAGATAAATATTAGTTTCCAAAAAGAGATATTGAAAGTTTAAACATACTCTCAGTGAAACGAATCAACTTCATGGGCAAAAGTGTAGCATAGCAACTTTAAAGGGATCCAGTAACTTTGTCTTAGATCCTTTAAAAAAAATCCTTGATTTAGCTCATGCTGCAATGATAATTATAAACCTTTAGGTCAGTTAGGAACCACATGACTTTTCCAAGCTGATCGCCTGTCTGATTATGATTAAAAATCGACATCAAATTTTGCGTTTGCCAAACGGTTTTCATAACACTAAAGTCTATTGGAGAAAACGAGTACTGGTATTGTAAATACCGGTCACTCAAAGGTTTTTACTTTTTTGAGGCACTTCTTGATCATTTTGAAGCGCGATTTGTTGAGGGCTTCAATATTACACCTTATCACAGAGACTGATAACACATAGTATCGTGTATCTCAGATTTAACATTGTTAAACGATGCCTTTTAGCCTCTTTAATATATGCAGCTCAAAATATTTTGTTGATGATCGGTACACTTCAATCTTTTCTGTAATGTACAGGCGTCTCCAGCTGGCTCCAATCAGATGGTTTGATTTCTCCGATGAGGATGATTTTCAGGGATCCTTTGACAAGCTTGCCACCTGCATCAAACAGAAGCTCGCAGAGATCGGAGATGAAGCCAGTAAGTCCATAAATGTACTGTATACCCTAAAAAAACAAAAAACATGGTAATACCATAGTACTACCATGGCTCTGCATGTATATATTTAGTGTACCATATAAATAATGTCACTACCATGGTAGTACCATGGTACATGTACCGTGGCCAAAATACTGTGTACCATCATGGTAATTTTGTATAAGGATAGATAAAGCTGTTTTTTTTGCATGGTTTTATTTCGTGAATTTCGTGATATACTCAAATTTAGCAAGATAAGAGAATATTGCCGCCTTTAAACGTTTTTTGTTCTTCCCCCGCAGTAGGGTTCCGTCTGGAGCCTTAGATATGTACATGTTTAATAATCTTCAGTTCTTGTATAGCACATCATAAATTATGAAATTACATCTCTATGCACTTCCAAAGAGCTCTTGGAAATGATAACCCTAGCTTTATGTATGTGTGCAGTGCATTGGCAGTCATGGAGTACTGTAAAACATGGATGTATCGTGCAAACCCAGTAACATCATTTGACTAAAAATCACAAATGCACAATTAAACAATCTGAACAAGCATGTGAAACAAACTGGGAAAGTGATAAAAAGGAACTATACACCTTTTTTTAAAGCCACACTGTCCTACTTGTAGCTACTTGCTTCCTCTATATAGAAACTTCCCCAATCGGTGCCTGTTTGTCCCCCATGATCCTCTTTTTGTTATGATAATTGAGAGCTGAGTTAATGAGATAGCCACCTGTCAGTGACTCGCTGTGTGGTTTAATCCCTTCTGGCTGAACAAGTACAGCCGGCCTTTAAGAGACCTTTTTTTTAACTTAAAAAATTTGTTCTCATAAAACTCTTCTTTCTTTGTTAGACCGTACTGAAGGAAGTGCTAAGAAGCACAAACAGATCACGAGAAAAGAGACGAGGACGAGACTCAACGTCCATCAGATCTTACCCCCGACAGAGGCCATCATGAAAGACTTCTGGGCTGTCCATTTCAAGAACAAAGAAAACGTGCCTTTAGAAGAGTAAGTATGGCATTTAATCTCTCTATCTGAAGGCTTACAACCCAAGCCCTTTCCTACGTTAACTAGTCTACTCAACAAAACGTTTTCCTGTTGACTGTGAATGTATTAAAATTGCAATATATCTTTGTAATGGTATTATTTGAAGCTCATCTTTTGAAAAAACAGTATAGCCACATTGAACCCCTTACCTCAAGAGCAATACTAATAACACTATGCTCGAAGAATTGTTGGATATACTTTAATTTTTAGCCAACGTTATTTTTCAATCAATCATTGAGTAATTAATGTAAATATGTATTGAAATTATGCAAATAAAGACCTCACTTGAGGAAAAGAGAAAAACAAAATCAAGAGCAATACATTTTTGGGTGATTGTTACACTTTCATATTCTTTGTTTTTGTTTTTTCCTTAGGTTTATGTCTGCCTTCAAGAACGACTGCACAGAAGAATTATCTAAGATTGGCGTAACCTTGGAATGGATCATACCCGTCTTAAAGGAAGAGTTAGATGAGGAGCGTGATGATATCATCACCAAAGAGAGCTATGAATGTAAGTGTAAAGACCAAGACCTACTTGTCTCAGGGCTCCACACTAAATTTTTCAATAGGCGATAATAATAATAATAATAATAATAATAATAATATATTGGGTTCTTGTATAGTACTCATATATGTCAGACTTGACTCTCATGACGCTCCAGGTTTTTACCCTGGCTTTAGCATGGCTACCATTACAGCACTCTAGCATTTCAAGGAATTAATTCCTGCCAGGTACCCATTTACATCACCTGGGTTGAGTGTGGCAAATGTAGATCAATGTTGTGCCAAAGGACATTAGTGCGGCGGCGGGACTCGAATCGCGGACCTTGTGATCCACAGGTCCGTGACGTATCCACTCGATCACAACCTCATGGTATTTCTTGATGGGACCACAGGTTTGCTGTGTACGAGATTTGTACACCCATTAATGGGTATACATTAATTCCACCGAGTCTGGTGTCAGCGGAATGAAAACTGACTACCTTCTTCCTTTCAAACTGACTACCATCTTCCTTTAAATTTTCGGGGGTCCGCCCAAACTAAGATTCTGGCCATCCATTTGTATGAGGTGCCTGCTAATTTTGAGTCCTAGAATTAGATGAAAAGCATGAAGACTGCAGAAATGTTGCTATAGCCTCATCTGTTGCTGTCTTTAAAGTTTAGTTGAAGATGCACTTGTTTTCAGGAGCTTTTCAATAGTTTTTTTTATTATACAGTAGGCTTGCGAGTGCACTATCTGAGAGAGAGAGAGAGGGAGGATTGAGGAGTCCTGAAAAGGACTCTCTGTAATCTTTCTTGAGGGTGTGTAGTCCTGAAAAGGACTGTTGGTGTAGTCTTAAAAAGGATTTCGTTTATCTTTCTTAGCTTATAGTTCTAAGGAGAACTATAGCGCTTGGAGAGGATGAGTTTTTTTTATTGTGTGTCTGTAAAGTAGCACTGTTAGAAGTTTTGTTTTCATCACAGCGCAGTAGAGTATATTTAAATAATACATGCACTATAAAAATTGATCTCATTATTACTATTATTATACTTGTGTTATTATTTTTGGACCATTCTGTTCCTTTAGATTTCTGTACTATTGATGAAGAGCGGCTTGACTTTTGGGATCGAGTAAAGGAGCAGGCGTTGGAACGCTACACTATGCTTGAGGTCTTCAGTATGGACTCGACCGTCAGGATTGATGCCATTCAGAATCTGGGTAAGAAACTCTTACCTTTGGCACTTCTTTAAAGCAGGACTGCACTACTTATAGCTACTTGCACCCTCTACGTAGCGACCAATGCCTAAGCGGTACCTGTTGATCCCCCATGGTTCCCTTTTTCTATGTTAATTGAGAGCTGCTTTGATGAGATAACCACCTGCCAGTGACCATGCAGGGAGGTCTAATCTCTCCTGGCCAAACTAGTACAGATAGGCTTTAAAAGGTCTGTAGATATTTTGGGGTCATTTGTAAGTACTATATGCTAACTCCAAGCTGGTCTATTGCTATTTGTTTGAATGCAGCCAAGTTCCACACCCGGTCTGTCATGGAGGCCATGATGGATCTCTGTGCCGACAAAGACGACAACGTCAGGGCCGTGGCGTCGCTCTCCTTGGCCCGCGTCGCGGACGGCAAGAACCTCCGCGTGATCCGCCGTCTGCTGCGCCTGCTGAAAGACCGGGACCGCCTCGTGAGGCAGAGCTGCTGTCTAGCCCTGGGACACATGAGGGCTAAGCAAGCTATTCCAAGCTTGGTCCAACTATGGTAAGCTACCGGTATATGTGTACCCACCTGATCAAATAGATATATAAGTTCTATACCTGGGCCCATTGCACAAAACTTACCATTGATGGTAACTTTGCCATCAATTGCAACTACCATGGTAACAGGGCTCAACAGCCAATCAAAATCAAGGTTTCCATCATGTAGTTACCATTGATGGCAAAGTTACCATCAATGGTAAGTTTTGTGTAACAGGGCCCAGGTCTGGTCCAACTAGCTATATGTGTACCCACCCCGGCTCAACTAAGATACAACTGAAAGTATCCCATCAGATGAAATAGATGTAATTGTTTGTACCCTTCCTGGTCCAATTATGGATAGCTCTAATGCAATTATCAATTTCATGAATTCATATGACAGACCTGTTCGCTACAACAAATAATTGTTTTGAAGCTTGTGAATTTAGTGATATGCACTTCATTTGGTTAAGTCACAATGAGCCGGGTAATGGACTGGACAAGCCTTGTTCGTTATGGTATTCTAACTTTAACTGTTTGCAGTGCATATTCACTTATGCACTCACAAACATGAATGATTTGTATAATACCTAGATCATCAGACAAATACCCTTGGAAAGATGGCTGAATTTATCAGAGAAAAATTACGATGAATTAACCTGCTTCCTTGTATCTGTGTAGGAGGAACGATGCCATATCTAATGTGCGTGAGGCTGCTCAAATCGCCCTGCATATAACCCAAAATGCATGCACGTTGAATAGTTCCAAAAATGCACGCCCTTGCAATAGTATATCTATTGAATATCATGTGACCAACAATTCTCCAATGACATGACAAGAATCTACTTAAATGTACGTGTTGTATAATACCTATTATTGAACAAATACCTATTGGAAAGACGGCTTGAATTTATTATTTGTTTATTTCTTTGTAGGAGGAACGATGCTATATCTAACGTGCGTGAGGCGGCTCACATCGCTCTAGAGAAGATCGGAGGGGATGAAGCCCAGGAAGCCATTCACATCACCAAGGTGCTCAGTGCAGAGATCAAAGCCCTCGCTCAACAGAAATAAGACAGGGTCTGTATTCCATGGAGTGATAATCTAGAATTTAAAGGCAGTCTGTACTAGTTTGGCCAGGAAGGATTAGACCACCCAGCGTGGTCAATGGAAGGTAGTCATCTCATCAACTCAGCTCTCAATTAACATAACAAAAAGAGGATCATGGGGAACCAATGGTCACCGCTTAGGCATTGTTTTCTACATAGAGGGAGCAAGTAGCTACCAGTAGTGAGGTGGGGCTTTAAATGCTAATTCAAATGATTTATTAAAATCAAATCCTGTTATGATAGGACAAGCATCACAAAATAAACAAGTTTAAGTGCAAGTTTATTTCCACTCTTAAAAAGAAAGCAACAATAAAAAGATATATACCAATAAAATTTATGGACACATACACCTGTACATTTACACATAAATATATAAACTTGTACGTCTACATAAGTGCGAAAAGGGGGAAAAGTTAATTTTAAGTTAGAGTTGACGAGTATACAAACAAAGCAAACCAAAACAAAATAGAAGTATGCTGATTAGAAACTACATCCAAATGATATATGCATACGACAAAGAATCCTGTGATAATTTCATTGAAAATAGGTCTTCCAATATTATTGGTGCCTAAAATTTGAAAGCTAATATACAAATATTACATGTGGAAAGTTTTAAAATTATGTATACTGCATGTACATGTAATTGAAAGTTATAAATAAATTATCTTTCTATGATCGAGGAGCTTCAGGTAAATATATGTAGGTAGTACTTGTAACTTCGGTAATTTGTCAGCATCTGAAAGAAATGAATTGTGGTATGTCCTAAATATTTTACAGATTTTATAGGATGCTATCAATTTTTATACATGTGTATGTACTTTCATTTTGGAATGTTTAAATTTTTGTTCATGTGTAACAATATATAACTTGCAAACTATTTCAATACAACATGTTATGTTATTTTAATTAATTAAAAAACATATAAAACTAGTTACCCGGTAGATAGTTTCAAGTTTCAGAACTCAGACGTCTTTGACTCCCATGCAAAGACAAAAGAACCCCAAACCATCTTGCAAAATGTTAAGAAAAGCAATACACAAAAAGGGCAACAAATTTGTAAAGACTTAATTCTTATAAAGTCTGAGGGATCGATCCTATCAAGTTCTGATTGAACATGTCACCGAAGTTATTAACTTGTGTATTCATGGTTTCTTATATAAGATAAGGTTAGGTTTTCAAAATGAAACCATCAATCTTTTATACATAATTCTTTTATTGCTTAATTTTGTATTCCATATCTTTTATTTTATTGTTTGTACTTATTTTGTGATATAAATATTCATATAAATGTTAGAATTATTTGTAGCCAAACTTGCTTTAGTTTGGTCATAACGCCAGAAAATGTTATTCCTGTAGTTTTCTTAGTGTGACCATAAATTTCTTGGAAACAGACGATATTCGTTTATGCTCGACCTCTTGCGATACATGAATTCAGAGGAAATTTTTTTATTTTGTTAATATTTTTAATTTTCAGAAGTTTGGTAGAGGCTGAATGATTGCTTAACAAAATATCACATCTAATGAACTCAAAAGTTAGAAAATAATCTGGTTTGTGATATATAAAATCAAGTTAGGAAATTCATGCAATTCAAGTACACAACAGAAGAAGAAGAAAAAAATTGCAAATTTTGATTCAAAATCTCAATTTGTATTTATTTTTTCATAAATGGTATGTATTTGTTTTCTTCTCGAAATGGTATGTATTTTGCTCTTCATATACATGTATAAAGGGATAATATTGGGATTATTGGGATCAGCAAATGAAGTTCATAATATTTAGAAAACACGTCTGAAGTTGTATGCATTCAATTTATGTTTATACAGTATGTAATACTGGTATGTATATTGCCTGATCGTATAGTTAGTTAGTACCAAAAGAGCCTTACAATCACTGTCTTTAATTGTCCATGTAACACAATATGTAACAAAACAATCATATTCATGTAATCAACTCATTCATGTTCTAATTGTTTAAGATTAGGAACTTTACAAGCTACCCTGTTTAAACCCTTCAGTGCAAACGTTAACGCTAATTCCATATCGATATCCAATTGATGTTTGAGACTGCCAAGTGCAAGATATGGTATTTCCGAATTTTCAACACCCTACTTTTCTGTGTTTTCTCAATCAATTTGAAGTAGAACCAAATCGAGGCTATGCCATGAAAAAAAAGTAGGGAAAATGGCTACTCTTTGTTACCTATATTGGAGTATGGAGTCGTAGAACCTTGCCTTATTCAGTGATGAAACTGTACATTATGAAATGATATGTATGAGATATAGATTTCGAGATATAGTTATGTTTATGTATACCTTAACATTTTTTATATTCAAATGTATATTTAAGTGTTTAACTTGTATACATGTATTTTATATGTATATTGTGGAATACAGTTCAGCGAACTAGCTTTTAGATTTTCTAACTTACATTTTTCACTCTAAGATGACATATGCTAATGAGAAATTAGGATGGCTGACTTGTAAGATTAGTGTTGTTATAATTATTGAAGTTATAGAGAGAATCATCAAAAGTACAAGTATTACATTATTTGCTTATTAATTCATACATTTGCATATTATACATGTATTCATATATTCATGAACTAAAGTTAATTCAACTGGCTATTAGATTTTACAATTTACATCTTTCATTCTAAGATGATGTATCTTAACAAGAAATTAGGATGGCTAACTTGTAAGAGTAATGTTTTTGTTAAAATCGTTGCTATCCATAAAGAAGTGTCAGCTACAGAGAGAATAGGCAAGAGCGCAAGTACTAAATAAAAGTATTATATTATTTGTTTATAAATTCATGTACTTACTAAAAAACTAATATTTTGCTTTATAGTTGTAGATTTTTGGTCGATATTGAAATATGGATCTTTATAAGTTATACATGCAATAGTGCAATATTTTCTAGTGGGAATATAATTCAGCGTTATTAGGGATGTAGAATTTCTTATATTCTTGTGAAAATAAGCCACTTCTCACTCACTTTGAACGTAGCGGGTCATTGCGTGTAATGTATAAGGGGGATTCCACCTCCTCATAGACTTTACACACAAGCGTGGGTATACACACTCGATGACCAGTGGCTTATTTTGCGAGAAGGCCCAATTTCCTGTGCTATCCACACAAATGTTTTTATTAGGAAAGATTATGAAAAGCCATTTAGGGAAACAGTGCCTTGTAATATTAACATTTCAATTTTTGTAATTTTCCACGTAAAATACGATCACAGAGGCTTTCAAGAAATCAAATTAATGTTTTTACATTACAATAATCTGACTATGATTTATGTAAGCAATAGAACAGGGTACTCGAATCGTCCTGGAATTTATGTTTAGGTTTACAGGTTTGCGACTGTGTTATATTTGATATTATAATATCCAAAGCAAAGGGCATCCAAATACATATTTATAGTATTGTATATTTATTTATTATATTACCCAACATAAGTTTTAGAAGATTTGGGAATAGTTCTTGTAAACTAAACTTCTTCAAATTGCTGTTCTAAATGAACTCTTCAAATACACAAACTGTCCAGACACACAACGTCCGAGTATACTACCTGTATACCAAGTGCATGTAGTTATACATTCCTAGTATGCCGTGAGTGTGAAGAAATACCTACTGAGATAATCATTAGTACAGGGTATGTACAGGCAGACCTGTCTTTAGCGGCTACCTCTCTATAAAGACCACTTGTTTTAGAGGTTCCTCACATTGTCTCGCCCTAGGAGGGAAGATGCCTAATTGAAGAACCTGTCTAGAAAGGCCATCTGTCTACGTTCATAGGCCATTTTTTTCAGTTTCCAATTAATGGTCATTACAGACAGGCTTGACTGCAGTTTTAAGAAAAATGTGACACTCTGCTGCATTGAATTGCTGTGATCTTGAGAACAAATATTAATGTTATTTGATAGTATACCTTCTTTTTAATTGGGGTGGAGGGTAATTTGGTTTTTAAATGTGTGTGTCTAGGCTTCAATGAAATGGAGAGTTCAATAATCCAATAATTGTGCCAGTAATGCAGTCAAACCTGTCTATAGTGGTAACTTAAGTTGTCTCTTAATTGGAAGAAATATATGCTGTAGATCCTGTCTAGACAGGACACCTGCGTACAGTAGTCAGTTTTCATTTTTCCCTTGGGTGACCTTTATAGACAGGTTTGACTGTACTACAGTTAACAGACATGTATATTTTTCATGAAAAATCATGTACCTTTTTTTTTAATACACCAGTTTAGGGTTGTGTGCGCCATTTTAAACAAAGCCAATGACCTAGAGGTCATGTATTTATGCGTAAATTAAGATTGCGCCCATGCAAATTATGATGATATCACTGCCTACGCGCTGCGTTGTGCGCACACATCATCATTTGCATGGGCGCAATCTTAATTTACGCATAAATACCACTGACCTCGGGTCATTGGCTTTGTTTCAAAGCCAATGACCCGAGGTCAACTGTCTGCGCCTGTGCACTGATACAACCGTAAACTGGTGTATTGCAGATAAGATTAGTTAAGTTATATTTTATATCTACACTAATATTTTATTGTATTTAGGAAAATAAAACATGGTAGAATCCCTGCTTTTTAAATCTAATTTCGTTTCCTGGTGTTCCTTTATCATTATTTCGTTTATTTCTGTAATTCTCTGGAGTTGCCTTTTTCTCAGTTTCCCTTTCCCATAAAGATTTATCCTTTATTTACTTTTTAATCTATGGTGGTAAATCCCCCCCCCCCTCTCTCTCTCTCACACACACACACACACACACACACACACGCGCGCGCTCTCTTTCTCCCTTCCTCCCTCTCTCTCTCTCTCTCTCCCTCTCTCTCTCCCTCTCTATTTTTCTACCCCTCTTTTTCTAGTTCTTCCCTTTTTTTTTTTTTTCATTTTGTTACCTTCCACAATCATGTCTTTAATCTGAGGGGGGAGGCGTGATGGAGAGAGGGGAAAAGAGATAGAGAGCGCGAGGGGGTTGGAGAAAAAGGGGGAGTGGAGGGGAGATAGAGAAAGAGAGAGAGAGAGAGACTGTGGGGGTGCTGACTACAAAAAGTGTAGGTGGGATTGCTTGAAAATTTAAGACCTTTTTGTTGTCAGCAATTCTATTATTATGGGCCTAAGATATACTCATTCAAGCCTCGTTTACTTCTCTATGATCTATTAGTTTTCAGTACAATGCATACAATTAACTTAGTTTTTTTGCTGCTTGCATTACTACATCTTCTTGGGCTTCTAATGTTACTATTTCGTAAAGTAAATGCGGAAAGGAATAGTGAGTCAAAATCAAACCAAATGCAATTAATTTGGAAGTAGGTCGCTGGCCGGTGTGGGTCACATAACGCGTACCCATGTATGCGCGCTTCCATTGTTGACGTCACAATATAGGAAACGCATGGTGAGTTCATCATTATGTTGCGCATGGTGACCTGAGGACCGCATAGCGGGTGTATACGTAATATGATGATGATGTAAACGTGTAAACACTAATATCCATTACAAAAAACCCAAACATCAACGAGGAAAAGCATGTATACCAAGGAAACCAACACTACCTCTCTCTTCAAATGATATTTGAGAGCAACCAATAATGACAGGAAACCTGCAGACCTGTAAGTATATATATCATGTAATACATTTGTTAATTGCTTTTGATATTAAGAACGAATACTTTCCGATCTCTTGCAGCAAATGAAGAGCAGGACGAGGGATTGTGTCCGGAGACTGAATAAAAGTAAAGCTGCCACGTTTGACGTTGGATTATACGAAAAATAAGCATCCAATTGCACCAACCATCATCATTTTATAATGCCCTTTATAATATAAGTCTTAACAGATCTATATTGTATAAAACATTACTTAATGGTAATCTTCTTTGGATAGGTAATTTTTCCGGAAGCACGACATTTTTTGAATTTTTGAATTTACCAAAATCATATATAGTCTTTTTAAAAATCAATCGTCATTATGAAATGTAATCACGGGAGCAAATTCATTTCAACGAAGCTTAGTTGCAATTGCAATTGTCAAAATAACAAGAAATTTACGTTTGAATTGTCTTTTTATCAAATTTGTAGACAGTGTAAACTATTATTTGCGTTACATAATATGTAATGTAGTCTGGCTAACCTCATACCAAGATCCCGTGAATTTTCAAGCTGAAGAAAATGGAAGAAGAAAACAAAGCCATACTAGCTACGATAATGGATCGAGACAGACCGCCATCTACGGTAGCAGCAACAACAGGCAATGACAAGGAAAATGGAGGAACATGTGAGGAAAAAGAGAAGGAGGGCGAGACACCAGAAAAGAAATCATCTGCAGCAGTAATTGAAGGTAAGAATACTTAGAAACCCGCCACACTTTCACATCAAACCTCCCCATCCCCTCTCTTTCTCTAGCTGTCTGTCGATTCTCTCTCTCTCTCTCCTCCCTCTCTCTCTCTTTCCGACTCTTTCTCTCTCCACCTCCCTCTTTTTACTATCCAACCATCTGCTCGTCCGGTTTCTACAAGCCCCCCCCCCCCTCGCTGTGTGTTATCTCGTTTCCCCCTCCCGCTCTCACTCTCTCTTCATCTTCTCCTGTTTCCTTTCAAATTACATTAGCTTGATTCTTTACCTATACTTCAATAGTTACATCGACCATGTAAAACATGTTTAATAATTCAACAACGAAAAAAATCTTCCCGGTAGGCAATCAAATTAATACTAGTTCAAAATGTGAAATCGAATCTATGATGAGACGATTTATATTTAGGCTATTCGACGTACATGCAGTTAGAGAATTATAATATATTGCAGATATTGTGGGATGGAAATCGAAAAAAAATTGTCGGGGTTTGAACCTAGCCCAATGTTGGTCCTCATTCGTTTAGGATTAGTTTCCAAATTAAGGACTTAAAAAGACAAAAAACATGGTTCCTCAAGTTATGTTCTCTGTCTTGTGTTTTTTTTTTTTGTGAACTACAAAGTTGACCAGATAACCAGTCTTGATAGTGAGAACAGAAGAACAGCCGACAGCGCCCTCTCACCGATTGACCTCCAAACGCATCATAACGGAAACACCCTCCCAGAGGATGGATCACAAACCTCAAAACAAGATGAAAAGATGACGAATGCAGACAGCGCCCACTCACGGCATCTTGATCGAGGATGGGCGTGGGTCGTCATGGCAGCGGCCATGATGACCCACATCATGAGCTTTGGTTTGATCTATGCCATGGTAGGGATATTCCATGTTGAACTGCTAGCGGAGTTCGGGAGAAGCGATTCTGACACGGCATGGACGGGAAGCATTCTTCTAGGAACCATGTTATGTTCAGGTAAGAACCTCAATAATTTCTCTAAAACTCAATTTCTCTAAAACATTCACTTTAAAATAATAATGTTGTTTATCCAGGGAAGCCTCATCAGCTTCAATGGTGTTCTTCGAGAAGCCCTGCACATTAATATCCTCGAGCAGTCACCAGGTTCACTTTCTTTTAACATGGGTGAATAGAGGGAAATTAAGATGTTTCCCAAATTCGTTAGTGCCTGTTTGGGATTCGAACCCTCAACCCTCAGACTGAGGGTCAAGTGAATGAACCACTATACCATATTCTCCCTTTTTTCAATTTTGTTTAAAATCGTTGCTTGGTAGTATATATTTGTTAAGGCTTTTGACTCTTAAATTTAAAAAGTCCCATGTTTAAACTTTTCTCAATGCTTCCATTCTTGGACAGATGTATTAAATGGATATCTGACAAGGTTGGAGAACTTTAGTTAGAGGGCGTGTAAGAGTAGTAACTGATTTAGCTAACCTGGGTTAACAACTTCAAAATATTATCTATATTAATATAAAATCGTAAAAAATAACAAAACAGAAATGAACAAAAATGTATCCCATTACCTTAGTAATAGGGGGTCATTATTTTACCTATTCAGTTAAATTATTTGATCTTCTATTTCTCAACTACTTTCTAAAAATCCAATCGAGGGCAATTTCAATAGCCTTTTGTATATCCAATCACATTCACTTTCGCATTACGTCATAAGTCATAGTCATATTCGTAAATTTCAATTGGTGACGCGGCACAAGGCTATTGAAATTGCCTTAACTTGATGTTTCGAAAGTTGTGGCGATCGTATTTGAAATTGATTTATTATTTGGCAGGTCCAATCGCCAGTGCCTTGGTTGGTCGGTTTGGTGCCCTAGCTGTTGTACTCGTGTTTATAATTGATTTATTACTTGGCAGGTCCAATCGCCAGTGCCTTGGTTGGTAGGTTTGGTGCCCAAGCTGTTGCTATCGTCGGGGGCTTGATGGCATCAGCAGGTTTCTGTCTTAGTGCTCTAGCGCCCTCTCTGGACTACCTCTTCTTCACTTACGGCGCTTTGACAGGTGCGTGACTTAAAGGCTAAGTCCACTCCAAAAATAATTTCATTTCAAAAGATGCAGGAGAACAAGAGAAACAGAGCAAACAAAAATTAAGTAAAATCGAATAACTATTAACGAAGTCATAATTTGTTTTTAAAGTATGAAAAACTATGGAACTTAGAAAATCACTACACAAAATGCCAATTTGATTTTCAGTTTGTGACGTCATTGCCTAACTATTTATCAATTGCTTTATATATTTTTCATCCCATTAATTTCCCTTTTTATCCCCCAAAACTTGATTTCCCCATGCCTTTGCCCAGGTTATATGATTTGTATCATATTGCGTGCATGACATTGCAAAAAATTGATTATGAACTTTGAAGAATTGATAGTGTAATTTGGTATAAGATGGCGGTTTTCAACCTCTCCAAGATTATTTGCACCAAAGAACTTACCCTCTGTTTAATGTCTACCACTATTTGCGTTTACCAAATTCGTTTCTTCTTTCCCCCATGTTTTTGGTCAGGTTTTGGATTCGGTCTCTGCTACCTTCCTTGTATTGTCATGGTAGGGCGATTCTTCGAGAAGCGTCGATCTATCGCTACAGGGTTCGTGGTCGCTGGTTCCGGCATGGGTACTTTCATGTTCGCTCCCATCGTCCAGATCATTGTCGAAGCAGTCGGTTGGAGACACGGTTTCCTCGTCCTGGGAGCCATGGAACTTACCCTCTGTCTCTGCGGCGCTACCTACATCCCGAAGCTGATACCTGAACGTCCATCTCCTGAGGATTACCAGAAGCATCTTAAAGATCTTGAGAGACAGGAACACGAAATGAGTTTGGACGACATAGAGCTAACGGAACTGGACTCTATTTTTTCGCTGAGTACCTACCTGCCTGTTGGAAGTGTGAGTCAGACTGTGAGTCGGAACGTCAGCAAAAATGTGTCAGCGGCATCCCTGTCAGCCCCGTCAAAACCATCGGCCGATGAGTCAGTAGAAAACAAAGACACGGAGTCACTAAATACGCTAAAGGCTGAAACTGTGACGCGGGTGAGCATAGCAGAGGATGCACGCACCCTGACAAGCATTATGCCTTATACTGCAGCAATGGACATCTACTCTAACAGGATACCTTCAGCCTCAACCGTAGCAGTGCCTGAGTCGATCCACGTAGACAGACGTTGCGGGCGCTGCATATCTCCATTCTACAAAGTGTTGCGGTTACTGAATAACCGTTTCCTGGTGGTGTTTGCCCTCTCAAACTTCGTCCTTTGTATAGGTTACCAGTTACCATACGTCTACTTCAAATCTTATGCCATTCGTCTTGGTGTCGCCGAGGATGAATGGTCCTTTATCCTCTCGGTCATGGGTATCATGGATACTCTTGGAAGGATCCTCGTCGGCTTCGTATTTGATCGTGTCCTCGGGAAACATTGGCGGATGTTAGGTTACGTATCAAGCTGCACTCTTGCGGGCACTCTTCTCCTCATTGTGCCGTTAGTTTCAGGATATCTGAGCCTCGCCGTTATTGCTTCTCTTTTTGCGTTGATTGCCGGATCCACGGATTCGCTGACACCTGCCTTGCTTGTAGCATTTGTGGGGTTGGACACACTAGGTTATTCCTTTGGGTTCGTCATCGAAATGCAAGGATTGGGATTTCTCGTTGGACCACCAATTGCAGGTAATAACTTTATATCAAAATCATCATTATTGTAAAATCGTACATTCTGAGAATCATATTCAAGTTTTTCAAGAATGCAGTTGGTATGGGACAATGAGATTCAGGTGAACTACCATATTAGATTTTATCATTGTCTTAAACGCTACTGCTTTATTTTGTCCACTTTTGGTTAGGGTAAACATGTTAAGATCCGTCTGAAACCTCGTCTACAATGTTTTTAAACAATTATTAAAACCATACTCAACATCTCCCGCCCCTAACGCTTTCGAATTTATTTCCAAACAGGCGCCCTCTATGGCTTGTTCATGGATTACGCTGTGGTCTTCTATGCTGGAGGATTTGCTTTTGTGCTTGCTGGGATCATCATGGTGGTCGAGCCAGTGCTGGGTGGAAAATTTCGATGCCGATCAAGAACCTAGTTTAATTTTTGTAAAGCATCACCGATCATAACTTTAAGTTTACCGTAAAGCTCTGTTGGAAGTTCACGAAAGCTCATGAAGTTTATGGAACCAATTCTTTCTGAAGTATGTACGAAATGGCATTTGCAATGTTCCTTTCTTTCGGAAATGATATGTATCAATTAACAGAAAATATGATTAATTGGTAAGATCTGAGTCTCTTCTTAAAATTCATGATAATATAAATTTAGAGACACTTAGAGCCTCAAAGGTAAACTTATAATGAACTAAAACTAGCATGTAGATATGTTTTATGAAAGCAATAATAGCATACCTAGATAAATATTGAAAACAGAAAAATATGATTGTGGAAGTATTACAAAAAAGAAAAGGGAAAACAAATATTAATGACTGGTATTTCTGGCTTACCCATAAAAAGTAGTGACAAATAAAGGATAAGAGCTGAAGATGGGAAATGAAAAAGACGGAGAGAGAGAGAGAGAGAGAAGAGAGCAAATTTATTTTCAAAAAAGAAAGGAAGGAGGATGTAAAGAGAGAGAGAGAGAAGGAGAGAAAGAGAGACAAAACTCTAGAGAAAAAAAAACACGAGAAAAAGTTGAGAAATGTGAAAGAAAAAGACAACGAAGGAACACAGATAAGGCAAGGAGTTTGAGTGTAGATGATGAAAGGGGAAGGGAGAACGAGAGAGGAATAGGGAGGCGAAAGAGAGAGAGAGAGAGAGAAAGAGAGAGAGAGAGAAATGGGAGGGAGAGCAAGTGAGTTAAATACATGACATGATAAAACAGATAGAATTTTTACCATGGCCCAATAATAACCTATAAAAATGCAGGAAATGTAGCACAGGGACGATGAATCAAATGATCGCTCTTTTCTGTACTTGTTATACTGACGATAGGGTGATACTCCTCAAATGTTTGCAATTTGCATTATATTAATTAACGCTCGGTCGATATTTTTCCAAGAACCTAATTTTTATTTTGCGTAAAGTATTTTCTTTCTTTAAACGAAATCGTTATCATTGAATAGCGAATATTTTCGAAGCCTTGAAGGAGCAATTTTGTTTCTGGTTGGTGCTTAATATGTTTGATAACTTTATTCATTGACCATAGTAGTAGTATTAGTAGTGGTAGTAGCAGCTTGCATTATGCAGGTTTGAAGATCATTCCCGAAAATATCTTTTACTTTGTTCATTTTGTAGTGAATAAAAACAATTTTCAAATTTCTCAGCACGTGTTATTTCTTTTGATTTGTATATTCAATTGTGGTCTGCAGTGAAATAAGAAATAGATGGAGGGAGAGAGAAAGAGAGAGAGAGAGAGAAAGACAGAGAAAAGATAGACAGTGAGAGAGAGAGACAGAGAGAGAGAGAGAGAGAGAGAGGGAGAGAGAGAGCGAAAGAGAGAAAGAGAGCATGTAAGAGAGTTACTACTTCTACTCGGATGAAAATAAGCAATTGAGTAGTGATAAGAATGAGAACAATTTTTTCACAAAAAATCTAACAAGATTCAAAATAAATTCAACGAGACTGAGTTGTTAGATGCTCGCCAGTGAAAGATGAAAACGACAACCTACCAATAAATGAGTACAAAATTGTTTCACCTAATATGGATTCATCGACATCCCTTGACCTATTTTCCTCGTTAATCTTCGATTTACCTTATGAAATAATTATTATAGAACATAGCAATGTGCAAACGCATCCTGGATAATTTTGTACTTTGAATGAGACCTTCGCATGTGCAGTGGAAAACTTCAAATATCGCAGTGGAGTGGCGTAAACTGGATCGAGTGGAGGGGGGGGGGGGGGGGGGGGGGCACTGGTCCTTACCTGGGAAATGAAACGTAAACTTACAAGGCTTCTGATTATGGGGAGGGTGCTGGACATGGTCACAGCCTCTTCTTTTCTCGTCTTTTTCCTCCTTCCTTTTCTCGATTTTGTCTTTTGATTTTGTTTTGCTCACTCGATATTTTTATGTTGGGGGGGGGGGGATATAGGGGAGGGGGCATTTTCTCCCGTGTATTCATGTAGCTTCGCCACTGCATCACGGCGCTCTCAACATTGGTCTCCATTGGTCATGGTGATGTCGCATCATCGCTCATGCCGTATCGATATGGGATGACGTTAATGTAGTTCAAGACCGTCCCGCGCACCGCAGATCGGATCCAAGGCGAGTACACTGCAGACGATATCGCTTCTGCATTCGGCTGAGCAGAAAATTGAAATAGGTTTCGGATCGAAGTGAAGGCTAAAATGGATTCGAAAAATGTTGCAGCAAATTTTCTCGTAAGTCAAATTTGTATTTTACATTATCTACTTACTCGATTCAATTGTAGATTCATTTTTCATCTACTTCCTAGCCTCTTTTAGTAGTTATTATTATCAAAGTGTACTCTAAGAATTGGTACATATTTTGTACTCGCCGAATCCGTGTATTTCCATAGATGAGTAGGATTACTATTATTAACATTTTGGAAAATGATTTATATCTAAATATCAATTAAATGTACGGTTGGTTATATGTAATCTTAAAATTGCCAATTCTTTTTAAATAATCAGTTGCAATTTCGACATAACTTCAATAGCTAATAGATATCACTAATCCAAATTTTTGAAATGGTCGAAGAACAGCCTGAGGGCTTGTTTGATAGATAATAGATAATGAGAAGCAAGAAAGAGGATAATCATGATAATCAATCTAGGCGTTTTACCAAATTGAAAAATCATATGTTTTCTCTTCTGCAGAAGTCAGAGAGAATTTTTTTTCTTCAACTGCTTAAGATTGAATATTTGTTTCTTTTATTGTCTGGCGTTCTTGTTTATCTTATAGTCCATAATTTATTTAAGAGATGCATTTCAATTCTTGGCTCCATTTTTTGCTTCTAATCAATTTTCACATTCAGTTCAGTTCAGTTCAGTTTCAGTTTATTTTCATATTTCTCACATGTTGTATAGTACATCATTACATATAGCATGTTACATTTTGAACTCATTTTAGGATGCGTTTATACAAACAACAAAAAAGAATGATACATAAGACTAAGTTGCATTAATGATCTCGTTCAATTTTTTTTTTAATTTCAGTTCATCCTCGTTTTGCAATTTATTTGCATAAGTGGACAAACTACGGGTAAGTATTCAAATTCTACTTTCTTGAAAAGAATATGGAAGATTTAGAGATTTTAGGCCTATAGCCCAGCTATTTTCAGTAATCAAAGATATAATTCCGTTCCTTTCTTGTTGGGAAGAATTTAAATTTTCGAATTTCCGTGACCTTTGTTTAAAAAATAATCATTTGCTGTTGATTGATTATTTTGTCATAGATTGTTAATACCAATCGTCATCAGACTTTCTGCGTTCCATATTATATGGAAAGACTTAATTTCTCTTTTTCCAAATATATAGTTATTTTGTATAAATGTAAATGGCTCACGTTTTAACAGAATATAATTTATTAGGTGAAAAATATAATAAATAGACTCGGGAGTCATTACAATAAATCCTTTGACTTTGATATTGATATTCATTGTATATATTTCATACAAATATCAATATTTATTGACAATAGATTTCTCTCATTTTCAATTTAGTTCCATTTAACTTATTTATCATATAACAAGTAAAAACATATCGGGGGTCTCGGGAGTCATTACAATAAATCCTTTGACTTTGATATTGATATTCATTGTATATATTTCATACAAATATCAATATTTATTGACAATAGATTTCTCTCATTTTCAATTTAGTTCCATTTAACTTATTTATCATATAACAAGTAAACCATATAACAGTCAAACATAAATGAGTAAATTAATAGATTTATTTATTTTGTTTTGTTTTATTTACCAAGGGCAACCCCATCAGTGAGTAAAACATTGTTGTCTTCCGAAAATGTCTAAAAACTCTCCTCTTTGACCATGATCAACAATAGATTCTTTGATAACTTTTTATGTAAAGCGCTGTGAAACAACAGTTAGTTCGTAAGAGCGCTATAGAAATGACTTTATTGTATTGTATTGTATTGTACTTGAGGGGCCTTGCAAATAGTACAACAAAAGTTTAAAACATATCCATGAATACAAAGCAGCGAATATTACAAAGACATCAGAAGAAAGGATACCTTTAAACAAAGACACACGGCTTGTAAAACAGAAGGCATCTCAAGTTAGAGATAGTAATATTATTGATATTTAACAGTTCTTTGTCTTATTGATCAATAATTCTTTAGGGTCGTGCCTGACCGACTTCGTCCATATTTCATCTCGATGCTATTACGTAAGTGTTAACGATGTTGAAGGGAGCTTGGCTGAGACGGAATGCGATGGACTTCATCCAGGAACAACTCTAGCCGTTTTTCAAACCGATGCTGAGAAACAGAACGTAGCCGAGAGTTTGAGGTAAGAGATCATCATCATCTGAAATCATCACCAACTGTGAAACGATTCAAAAAAGAGTTTGAAGAAAACATCCATTTTGAAACCTCATCATCATCATCATCCTCATTAGTAAAACAATTTAAATAGAGTTTGAAGAAAATAACCATTCTGAAACCTTATCATCACCAACAGTAAAACAATTTAATTAGCGTTCGAAGGAAGTATTTATTCTGTAACCACATCATCACTAACAACAGAACAATTCAAACAGAGCTTGAAGAATATAACTGTTCTGAAACCATGCTGCGTTCATTTAACTCACACTTAAACTGTTTGGTTGCACATTATATTTCAACCTGAACGCTGACCCAGAAATGGCACTTCAAAGCGCTATGTTTCCATAGGAAACGCGCTAGATAAATTTAAAAATATTATTAATATTATGACGATGGAAATGATTATGATCTCATTACAATAATAATAACAACGATAATGATACTACTACTACTAATAATAATAATAAGAAGAAGAAGTAGAATAATAATAAGAATAATAAGAACAATAATAATAATTTAAAAAATAATATTAATCATAATAATAGTAATGATAATAATAATAGTGATAATAATAGTAATGATAACAATGATGATAATGATAAGAATAATACTGAAAATAATAATATTAATGATGATAATGATGAGAATGATGATGATAATAATGATAATAATAATGACCTCTGGCCTCGTTTTGATCAAAAAGTCGTGAGAGAAGAGACTTGCCAATCATAATAACGGAAAATTGATTCTTCTTGTTTGGAGATATCCCCCACAAGGCCAAGAGCGGTGAAATTGATCCAAATTACTTATATTTCACGACACGAGACAAATACCTGTTCACAGTCCATTAGCTGTATTTATTAGCAACATGGTATCAACACTGTTATTTTCATTAGGACCCGCATGTTATCGAGCCGTTTTATGAGTTTGGTGACGTACAGATATTGGCGAAAGAGCATTTTTGATTAAAAAACGGGGTGTATCGTTTCATTATGATGGGCATCTAAACAAACAGTCTGTGTTTCTTCGAAAAATCTTAGCTAATATTGGCATGATCATTACCGTTTCCAACGTTGTTGGGGTGAGGAAACTTCTAATTTTAACGATTCACAGCAATTTTCTCTCAAAACGAAGACCATAAATTTGACTGAGCAGGACAAGAGCTGTCAATTCTTCATGCATAAGAGGCTTCTTGACTTTCTATTTCAGCTCGTTTTGTTTTATTTTGTTGGCTCTGATCGTCGTCATACGCTACTTCGAAAAATCGTAGCAACCATTGGCACTTGAGGGTATAGAAAACATGTTTATTAATGATACTGATAGTGTTTTATGCTATTAAATGGTGAGACCACTTGTTCTGGTGAAGACATTCTTATCGATTGGAAGCAATTTCCTTTTAACCGAAAACAAGACCATGAGTTTAATTGAGCTGGACAAGAGCTTCCATTCTTGATGCATCAGAGAGCTTTTTGTTTTTTTGCTTTTTATTTCAGCTTGTTTTATTTTGTTTTGTCATAGTCAGAGGACTTGAATCATTTCTTTCGCGTTTTATTTTAAAATCAGAATGAAGAAAATAAGAAGAAATGAGAAACACAAATGAAATATTGATTAGAGAGGGATAACGAAGGGCGGGCAACAGAGAGCTCTTCACCACCCTTGCAAATAAATATAGCTAATATTTGCATTCCAAGCATGCGATTCTACG